CCGAACCTTCTCGTCAGCACCTCAAGTCCTAATTTTTTTAAAATGTGAAAGAAAGATAAAAGATGAAGAACTAATGTACTTAGCACAAGTAAGTAGGCCCTCCCCTGGGGCCTGTCTGCAGTGCTAGGCACGTGTGTTATTCTAAAAGTGAAAGTGTTCAATCAAGGCCTACAAAGCCACGCCTATAAAGCCACGCCCACAAAGATGCCCGTCTCAGGATCTCCAGGACAAGAATCTACTGTCCAAGGCACAAAGTGTATCTGTGAGGTCTCAGAGACCCACCTGCCCAGAGAAGATGGTACAACAATTGATCTTTCTCATTAGATCCAGGGAAAAGACTGGACGCGGAAACCTGGTGGGCCCTACGAGAAAACTGGTCCGTAATTTGGAGAAAGCTATTCCCCGCTGAACATTAGACAGGTTGACATGTGAATACACACACTTATCTCTAGTCATCTGAGGAAAGCACTTGCTTTCTCACATTGTAAATCTGCAGCCCTGTCCTTTCAGGTGTGATGAACATGACTCCGACCTGACAGGCACACAGGACAAACCCAACACTCCCCACCCCACACGGGGCTTGCGCTTCTGTTCCTGGTAGAAGTGCATGTCTGTACCTGTAGCCATGGAGCAAGCTGACCTGCTAAAATGAATTTCGCAGCAAGGAACTGTGACTACAAGAACATTCCTGATGCCAACAGCAGATGCTCTGTGAACTAATTCAGGCAGTAGTGTACACAGCCACAGTGACTAAATTATCTGTTAAACATACTGTGAGAAACCGTATTTATCTCTCCCAAGTTGAGCTTTTTGGAGACTTAAACAGGATGCCTTTATTTCAGTCTTTAATATGCTCATTATCGTCAAATGAAGTCTTCAAACTGTGGAGAAACAAACAAGGACCCCCCCTCTCTCTTGGAGTTTCCGGTTCCCCCTTCCCACTCAACTAGAACTCCTTCTAGAAAGCTAAAGACAGTGCAGATAAAATGTGGTTATAAAGAAGGTATCTTTCATCAACACTGTCTCCAATAAAGCCATAAAGGTTCAAGGAGCTATGGAGATAAAAGGGTGGAATCTTCTGGAAATTAAGTGCAATGCTAAGAGAATTCTTCACGGATAATGGAGCCATCTTCAAAACCTCACTCTTCTCGGTAAGCCAGGTGCCTTGATAAACCAAACAAGGGACTGGAATAAGGGCTCCAGAGATCTGTTCCAACTACCCACATACTGACTTACAACAGTCTGCAACTCCAGCTCCAGGGAATCTAACACCCTCTCCTGGCCTCCATAGGCACCAGGCACATGTGTGGTAACATGCATTCATACATACAAAAATAAGCACGTCAAAAAAGAAAAAAAAAGGAATCCAAGAAAGAAACCAACCAAACAGCAAAATACTATTTTTGAATCCAGGTAACATGTTTTAGGTTTCCTATTGCTGTGAAGAGACACCATGATCACGGCAACTCTTACAAAGAAAGCATTTAATCATGGCAACTTGTTTACAGATCAGAGGTTCAGTCCATTATCATGATGGAGAACATGGCAGCATGCAGGCAGACATGGTGTTGGAGTATGATATCCCTACATCTTTCAAGCAACAGGAAGTTGACTGATTGTCACACTGAATGAAGCTTGAGACCTCAAAGCCCTCCCCCACAGTGATGCACTTCCTCCAACTAGACCACACATACTCCAACAAAGCCACACTCTCTAATAGTGGTACCCCCTTTATGGGCACTATTTTAAACCATCACACATGTATCTTCAGGGGTAGTAAATCAAGACCTAAATCACTAGAAACACATCAACAAAACCAGCATTTGATCTACAAATGTGGCCACTGTTTTATCAAGCAGAGCAAGACGCTATCTAAAAGAATAAGTGAACAGACACGCAAACAAACGATTAAGTACAAGACGGATGCTCAAATATCAACTAATGTTGTCTATTACCTGCCCTCGGGCATCATCTTAAGCCTAACCCTTGCATAGCACACTTTTCAATAAACATGTGCCTTCCATAGTGACTGGACTGACCACTCAACACTCCATGTTGCCTGAAGAGTAACCACTTACCAGGTATTTGTTACCCCATTAGTATGATTTCCATTTGCACTTTGTAGTCCTTACAACTAGGCAAGTCTAGCTTTCTCCCCTTTGAAGAGTGACGGAATAATTCATAAGAGTACTTGAGTCATAACGAGACAGCACTTGTCTATTTAGCAAAAAGAAATGCTGGAACTTCTTTAAGATTAAAGACAAGATCACTGTGAGATTAGGAGGCAGAACAAAATAGACTGTACACTGTAGATAATTACTTTTCTAAATTTCTGAGCAAAAGAACGTTCATGGAGAATTAACTTCAACTGGTAACTCATTCAACATCAAGTCTTAATGGTATGCATATGTGGAAATACTCAGGAACATCATTAGGGTTCCCCCCAATACCCTGAATCTTCACTTGTGTGGAGGCAATGGATGCACTTTTTGTGTTCTCTCTGTTTGCTGAGAGGATGCGGGGGAAGTAGGACACAAAATTCTGTGTGGATCAAAAGCGATCAGAAGTACATACTGAACAGAAGAGAACCCAGAAGTTTTTCTTCATTCCATCCTACCCATTAGCAGTTCACAAAGCCGTATTTTAAACCTCAAAAAGAAATTTGAAAATCCAGACTTTAAAAAGTGCAGGCCAAGAAATTTTCCAAAGTTATCAATTTTATGACAAGAATATCTCTTTGATGGAACTCTTGAGGGCATTGAAACAATTACAAAAACTATCTTGAAAGGCTCTTTTCAAAATAAAATTCAAGTTTTGGGGAAACTGGCTGTGGTGGTGATGACATCTCCTGTGGGGAACTGAAGAATCAATAGAAGATGCTCAGACTCCTAAGGGAAGGACAGTCCTGATGTGGGACTTGAAGATACATGAGCTGGAGAGTGAGGCACAGTTTCCTGGAGAGAGATCAAGGACCAGGTGGGCCCAAATCTTCAGGCTCACACATACCTTCCCAGGGGAGCTTTCTACAAGCCAGCCCATGCGATTGCTTGACTGCTCAGGAGCTGGGCAGAGCAATGTGTAAGAGGTACGAGAGAGACAGTGCCTAAGGAGCTGTCCTGGGAACCGTGCCACCTTCTCAGTAACTACCTGGGGGAGGGAGGAGAGCTAGGAAAGTAGAGATGTCACCGGCTGAAACTAACTAAAGAGGAACCGCAGGGGGCTGCACAGTCCTTGACTATGGTTAGATGTATGTTTGCTAAGCAATCAGTGTCACCAAGGTGATGAAGTTCAAAGTCCAACTCCAAGGTCATGCGAATGAACAAAACGTTCTCATTTAAGCTCCTAGTCATTAAACATAAGTTGCTCTGGCTCAATGAAAAAGAGAACCCCACAAATGCCCTAAGTTTTAGAGTCTAAAACAAGATACCCTGAGACAAACAAGATAAGGTATGCACCATAAAAATTAAAGGGGGAAGAGGGTGGGAAGATGCTTCAGCAGGGAAAGGTGCTTGTCACTAAACCTAAGGACCTGGGTTTGATCCCTAGGACCCATATGGTGGAAGGGAAGAACTGACTCCCACAAATCAGCACGTTGCCCTCTGACATACGTACATTTGCAGTGGCACATATATGTATATATGTAGGTAGATAGGTAGGTAGGTAGGTAGATAAACAGATAGACAGATAGACGACAGATGTAAAATAATTAAAGGAAAACAAAACAGCAATAATTTAACGGCAAATCTACTGACTGTTATCTGATTGTCTCCAAGCAGAAGTTATCTGGATTTTTGTTTGTTTGTTTTCATTCCCAAAGAGCAGTTTTTGGCACATCTCCTGAATACTTTCCATGGTGTGATTTGTACTACAAATTCAGGTCCATGTTTAAGTCCTGGTTGTTGTAGCTAACTTAGAAGTGCCAGGCGAGTTTACCTTAGTGAATTATTCCTTTATCTAGGTGCAGTGAGAGTGACCGTAGAATGACTCTGAAGATTAAGTGAGATGAGACATCCAGGGAGCTTAGTCTAGTCCCTGGCACTGTAATAAACTGCTCAATAGGCATGCACCTGTATCGCTGTGCTGATACATTAAATAATAAATCTCTTAGTAAATGTCTGATACAACAGTAAAAATTCACATAAAGCCAGAGGTTCCTCACGGGGCTTTCTCCTTGAGTCAGTGACAGAACTAACTGTTCAAGACTCAAGTCTTCCACAGTGGATATTAGAAACAGTTTCATTAAATTTCAAGGAAACCACAAATACTTCTTTGGGTTCATTTATGTCCCAAATGTTGCATGGTAAGACATCCAATTGGAACAGTACACCAAAGGGTAAGAACTTTGGTGTGTTGTCCAATTACCAAGTCTCTACTTCCAAGTGGACCCTTTACCTCGGAAGAATCTCCTGGCCTCCCGCTTTATCACTTTTGCGAAGATCCTTTCGCTATTTGCTTGCTATTTTCAACATCAACAATTAGTTAAAGTGAGAGTTGTGTACTAGCCGTAGGAATTCACACCTCTTACACTTCCTAGCAGACACTGCCAACAGAATCTATGGTCAGAGAGCCCTGCTGCACATTACCCAACTTTGGATACCTCAACTATTTAGCATCATGTCAAAGTCTACATAACCCCCACCCCAATTTCTAACCATGCAAAAGAACCAGCTTTAACAAAGTTGCTTTCCATACATAATGCAGCTTTAAGGGCAGGGGCAAGGGCTAGCTCCCATGTTTATTTTCTTTGGATTAGATTAATGCTGGTGGTTTGGACATTTGGAGGAGTTTCTGAACAGCATTAGGTTCATTTAAAGGCAAATGTGCAAGTCAGTAAAAAGGGTCTTCCAAGGACCAGAAGCTTTTCGCCATATGTAAGGATGTATCTATGGAGACATTCAAAGTCCACACCTCTTCTTTTACAGACCATAATTAAACTGATGCTGTCAGTTCTTAAGAATTAGCAATTAGGTCACGCAAGCCCAGAGAGATGGCTGCCTTACCTCTCAGCACTGATTTGAGGTTCAGTTTGGCTTGGCGGTGCAGGTCCTCAACACAGGGGGGTCTTGTAGCGGGAAGGAAAACATTCTCCTGCTGATGCCATGGTGCCGTGTAGTGGACAGTCCATCGGCTCTCCTCGTCTAGGTTGGAAACCGCTACAGAGACAAAGAAGAGATTCACATGTCAGCTGTTGACCCTGAATCGGTTACATTAAGATAAGGTCTCAGTCACCAGGCATGACAGCTCATGCCTTTAGTCCCAACCATTAGGACACAGGAAACTGAGTTTTCCAATGGTACAATGTGGCTGCATCATTAAGCAAACCAGAAACAAATTCCCCACCATGAGGTTGGGAACAAACATCTATCTTCTACTGCCTAACTTAAAAACACCATTGTTGCGAACACACATAAAACATTTAGGACTTAGTGTATTCAGTTTGAACAGCATCTGCACTATAAAATTCTCTCATTTATGCTTTCATGGGCTACTTCCGCTGTAATTTTTAAAATGTCTAATGCAATTGACTTTACCCAACACAAAGCAAGTCAATTAGATTTTCCCAACACAAAAGAGTCCAAAGTCTCGGTAGGAGGGGAATAAGAGGCACACTGAACTCAAGCGGGATCTCTAAGATAATTTGCTTACACCCCTACTAGGGCTTGAGATCGCTTTTACTTCCATATTTCCCAACAACACAAGTTATGCTGGTGTATGCGTAGAACGTAGTCATCAGCAACACTTTAATACTTTCTATATGACTGCCACATACTTATGCATAGAAAGGACTAGACAGACCCACGTAAAAGGAAGCCCCTGGACAGGGCATTTACCAGGGTGGTAAACCTAACTCATGTAAAGCCAGCAGACGTTAGGGCGGTGAGTCAGAAGTCAGTCTACCCTGACCGTGCCCTACAGAGAACAGTTGCCTGAAACAACAGAATGTCTGCCTGGGAACTAGATCATAAAACACAATCTCAAAGGAACATGAAAAACAGAATGAACTAATGACTCTGTCTGAACATATTTAGAATTAGCTAAATGTACCCCATACACAGTAACCAGGTCTACAGTAGAGCGCGGATGGACTAAGGTTGCTCGTGAAATAACCCGTGTAAAGCAAGACTGGGGAAGAGACAAGGGATTCTGAATGAGCCCCCAGCACTCTTCCCATGGAGAACTGCACCTTCCTTAGCCTGGCTCCCACACACCTATAACCCACGTGTCCAGTAATTTTCCTGCAGCTACCACATTTTAAAAGTCTATGGATCTGAAGATTTAAGGAGCTGCTTTCTCCACAAATTGCTAAACGGCACATTTTGCTTATAATGTTCAACAAAGGCAGCATATAAACTAGGCCCCTATTATTTTACATATTGGACAAGAGTTCTGCATGGTTCATAATGCCATCCGCCTTAACATATAAAATCTGAAAGCGTGGTCTTCACTCTGCTGTATGGTTCAGGGAGTAACACAGCTCCAAGCAGCCAGAAGTCTCTCAAAGTACACACAGAATTGATTACAATGGCTTTTGCTAATGCCTATTTATTTTTAAATTTTAACTGCCTTAGCGGGGGGTGGGGGGATGGAAACTTCCCCCTCTTCGCTCATTACAAATCAAATCCAAGTGCTGGCATCTGAGCCCCGTAATTGTACCATCGGCCCCAGGGCACAGACGCGAACTGGTTCCTCTGAAAGAGCACTTGTCTCTTCCCCTCTACCTGCCTCCTGCAAGGGCAGATCTGTATCATCCCCTCCGCAGACAGACTTCGAGCTAGAGAGAGAGGCGGAAAATGGGCCCAGAGTGCTGCCCTTTGCTGTGTTCCCCAAGGTCTGTGAGCAGAGACATCCCACCCCCCACTCCCTGGTTGCACATTTATCCAGGTCATGTCACTGATCAAATGGCGACGCAAAGCCCCTCTGAAATAAGTCAATAGGGGAATTAAAAAAAAAAACACCCATGTCATTGTAAAATTGAATTTTCACGGGAATGAAGAGGCACCGAGATTAAGGAAATTTAAGCTGACAGGAAGTACACAAAGAAGCCACAACGCAAGAGCTCACTGCTTTACGACAGTCACTGATCCGTCTAGACAGTGTGTCCTCCAGCTCAGAAATCCATAACCGAGAGTACCAGGGGGCTTTAGAGGATCATCCCCACCAGAACAACGTGACGCCTTACACATGGACCCCTCACCTCAGCCACTCAGCCGGCTGAATGCCCAGAAACCACACACTGTCTATCAAGGCAGAGCCAACACAAAGGCCTTCTCTTCCTTAAAGGGCTTCTTGTGAGAAGCATAAAAGAGACGAAGTCACTTAAACCCCAAACATAAATAAATAAGACAGAATAAGACCGCATCATACTGTCCAAGGCGCTGCAGCGACCGGCATACAGTGGAGGTCAATTCATTTTCTTTCGCTGTGATTTCAGAACTCAGAAGGGCACACACACACACACACACACACACATGCACACACACACACAAACATGCACACACACACACATTCCCCAGAACTTACTTTTCTTCTTGAAACGTTTAAAGAAAGATTTAATCTTTGCATTAATGAAGACCACCATTTTCTGTCTGCAGCCCCTACATAGGTTCGAAATTCGAAGTCACTTTAGAAGTTGGGTCCAGCAGGTAGGTGGCAAATGGTCCTCTACAGCCCCCGATTCTAACTTTCTTCATCAGGTCTCAGCCCTTTCGACATCCGCCTCCCTAAGCTGCCTGTAACTCTGAGGTCAAGTTTATAGTCAGGTGGTTACAAACCATAAGCAGGTCCTTGAACAAGAAAAACTCCCACTGAAACCTGATCTGTAGGCTAGGAGTGGCCGGTGACAACAGGAAGAGAGAAAGCCAATCACAGCACTCATTTGCATAAGCACCGCACGGCTCTCTGGCCCATTCATTCCATTTCCTCTGCACACATAGGCGGCAGATTTTGTTTTCTGGAAGCCTTGTCACGATGAAACAAACGGGTCCCCTGCTTTCACGAGGCCACTGTGTACATCCAGATCGGTTTGTTTGTTTGTAAGTCTGAGCGCAAGCCCAAGTTGATTCTGCTACTTTCCTGCCCACTGGGGAGTAAGGAGTGAGGGCTGAGACAGGGGAAATGAACCAACCTTTGTTTGCCAACCACACCCCCAGGCTCCGCTTCCCAAAAGAACTTCCACTAGTTTAGAAAAGAATCACCAGGGAGCTCGGCCACGACTTAGTGGCATTTTTATGCAAATGAGGGTGCCCTGTCTTCTCACCGGCTGCTAGTCACAGCTCTCAGCACCAGGTCTCCGGAGACTGTGATCTCATTTGCATCTAGCTGGCACCACTCTTAAAAAAACAAACAAAACCCCTTAACTTCCCAACTCCAAAGAAGAAATTAGATAACATTACCCAAATCACTTTAATCTCTTTTAAATGCAGTAATTACCTAACAGCCTGGTTCTAGCGATTCCACCACAGTTTTACTGGGTTGTAGTTTTAAATAAACATTATTTGGATTACTCTTTAGTTCAAACGGACTTCAGTTCTGGACTGAAGAAAGACAAATGCAACCGGAGGGAAATCAAGGCACTGTTAGAAAAATACAGCCCAGGGGGAAAGAGAAAGACGTGAAAAGCTGAAGACAGATCAGGGGTGGAGGGGAGCACGGGACACACACCTTCGATTCACCCCACTGAGCACAGAAAAGAACCTCTTAGTTCATAGCTTGGGGCCAGACTTGTAACTGAATGGAAAAATGCAATAATCCTCTAATTCAAAACATTTACTTTATAACAAAGGCTCTTAAGTCAAAGAATGGCAGTTTATTTAAGGGGCTTCCCTAGGGAAAGCTTGGGGGTGGTGGCCCCTCAAAGCTTCTCTTCCCTTTAACCACAGCATCTGAATAACAAAAGTGAAGAAACAAAAACCGAAGAAACTACAACATCACAACATCACACGTGAAGAAATTCTGCTATGCGTTCTTTCCATGACTTCCCTTAAAAGTCGGCAAAGTGCTAGACGGCAAATGAGTTACCAAGGCGGTAACTCAAACGACACGCTGTCTTACAGGGAGAGCAAAGTTCCTCTTCAGACTTATCAGTGACTGAGACCTTGCTCTGTGCGTGGCATTAGTGACAGGATGAGTTCCAGAAGGTAAAGAAACAATCTAATTCACCATCTACAAGTTTTTTGAAGTTCGATGCCACTCTGAAGTTCAGAGACAACTTTCCACCTGAAAGTAGAAACGGTTCAGGACAGTAGACCGTGAATACACTCGATCACGTACAGCGCACAGCTTCTTGCGCACACAGGAACAGCATGCAAACGGAGACGCATTCGCTAACCAGGTAAGTATTGAGAGTCTACCATGGGCCTGTCTCGTCAGGCTGTGTTATTTCACAAGAAGCCAATTGTATGGCAGGCCAGAGAGTGGTACGTCCAGTGAGCAAATGAAAAGTTGGGCAAAAGTAGGCAAAAGAGGATGGGAAGGGGGTGGGCGGGTCTGGGTGGATTTTAAATAAGTCAGGGTGGTCCTCGCTGAAATAATGGGGTTTGGGTGCAGGCTTGAAGGGAAAGATGGCAATAAATAGAACACACCGGTAAATCCCACTGGCTCTCATTTTCAAAACAAGACTGTTCTTCAGGCTGGGGACCCACATCTCCAACCCTCCAGGGCTAAAGAAGTGCTCTTCCCCTTCTTAGAAGATGAACTTCAACAAGAGTTTCCTTCTCTGTCCAGAATGCCCAAGCTAAGTCACCACAGTTAGGGAAGATAAGCCCTTATTTGTTTCACACCAGTCAATGATGAACTCAGGGACAAGAGGCAGGGTTTCCAGCCGGGAGCCAGGGGCACTTTATCCTCGGCAAGCATTTTTTTCTAGTACCATCACATGGTAATTCTCAAAAAGTTTTCAGGTTAGAGAACTGGCTTAGTCAGTAGTGTGCATGCTGCACAAGCATGAATACGTGATCAATCCCCTTGCTCCCCTGTGAAAAGAGCAAGGGCAGCAGTGGACACCTAGAATCTCAGCACCAGGGAGGCAGAGACAGGGGGATCCTTGGGACTGCAGACCATCCAGGCTAGCTTCCGGTTCAGTGGGAGATCCTACTTCACAAAAGGTAAGTGAAAAGTGATTGCAGAAGACATATAACATCGGCCTCTGACCACA